AGTTGGAAGGGATCTTGGGGGTCATCTAGTCCAACCCCCTGCACTCTGCAGGAGCACAGCCGAAAGATGATAGCCCTACAGCATACCCGAAAGATGGCGGCTTGAAGAGTGAAGAGCTGTACGGATACCGTGTGGACCACCAAAAAGACAAATACGTGGGTCCTAGACCAAGTCTGAGATCTCCCTAGAAGCTAAAATGACTAAGCCACTGTGCTTTGGTCACGTGATGAGAAAACAAGAGTTCCTGGAAGAGACAATCCTGCTGGGAAAAGTGGAAGGCGGCAGGAAAAGAGGGAGGCCCGACAGGAGAGGGTTTGCAAGGCCTGAGCGAGGCTATTAAGGAGAGGGTGGTTTTGGAGGCCATTAATTCATATGGTCGTCGTACGTCGGTGTTCCCTCTAAGCGGAGTTAGTGTGAGCTAGCTCACAGCTGGGGATTATTAGGAAGGGTATTGAAAACAGATCAGCCAATATAATAATGCCCCTATATAAATCAATGGTGAGACCTCATTTGGAATACTGTGTGCAGTTCTGGTCACCACACCTTAAAAAGGATATTATAGCTTTGGAAAAAGTGCAGAAAAGGGCAACTCGAATGATAAAAGGGTTGGAACACTTTCCCTATGAGGAAAGGTTAAAGCGCTTAGGGCTCTTTAGCTTGGAGAAAAGACGACTGAGGGGTGACATGATCGAGGTTTATAAGATTATGCATGGGAAAGAGCAGGTAAAGAAAGAGGTACTTTTCTCCCTTTCTCACAATACAAGAACCCGTGGGCACTCCATGAAATTGCTGAGCGGTCGGGTTAGAACGGATAAAAGGAAGTACTTCTTCACCCAAAGAGTGATTAACACATGGAATTCACTGCCACAGGAAGTGGTGGGTGCTACAAGCATGGACGGCTTCAAAAGGGAATTAGATAAGCATATGGAGCAGAGGTCCATCAGTGGCTATTAGCCACAAGGTATAGCTAGGGGCTCTGGGGCAAGTGATGCTCTGTCTTCTTGGTGCTTGGGGGGGGGGTCAACAGTGGGAGGGCTTCTAATGTCCTGGCCCCACTGCTGGACCTCCTGATGGCACTGGTATTTCTGGCCACTGTGTGACACAGAGTGTTGGACTGGATGGGCCTTTGGCCTGATCCAACATTGGCGTCTCTTATGTTCTTATGTTCTTAAACCACTAGGCCATTCAGGTTTGACCCAGAGCATATCACTGATGAATATACAGTGGAGGTGAACAATAGGTTTGACTAGATTTGACCCCCCGCAGTCTCCCAGCCATGCAGTCAGCCGCTTAGAAACATGCGTCTTTCTTCCACAGGTGAGGACTCGCACTTACTTTCTGGGGCGTGCAGGTGGGTGCTGTTCAAGTATCCCACAATCCTTTGCCCTTGGGATGCTCCTAGCTGCACCTGAGACATGCAAAGCAGGAAGCAGTTACCGGCAGCCCGGTCCCATCCCGTCACGCAGGCCGGCACAAGATGCAAAGCAGGACATGCGAGCAGCTCAAGCCAGCCCAGCCCACTCCAGGCACGAGTCCCGAAGGAGAAGCCCAGACCCAAAATCTCCAAAAGCAGCCAGCCCCCACCCCAGCCCCAGGGGACCCCTGCAGATGGACACTGACAGCATGCCCCCCCCCTCTGAGCCATGAGCCAGGCCAGTGGCTCTCTGAAGAGGACCCACCAGCAGTGTTCCCTCTAAGCTGCGTTAGTGTGAGCTAGCTCCAGGGGTTGTTTCCTGCAGGAGCGCACAGGAGCGGAGCTCCGGCAGTAAAGAGCCCAGGGGGCATGCACATGCAACAAGCCCCCCCCTGCTCCCAGCAGCCCTCAGTCAGAGCAAGAAGCAGCCAGGTAAGTTGCAGAGCCCCCCCCCCCAGTCCAAAACAGTCCAGTGGCACCTTTAAGACCAAGTTTTATTCAGGTACAAGCTCTCCCTCCTCTGTGAGGACAGATCTGCACGTCCCCCCCCCCTGATAGCTAGCCATCCAAAACAGTCCAGTGGAGCCTGAGCGGTGGGTGTTGCCTTCTGACACACTTCCAGTGATGTCAGGGGGTGTGGCATATGCAAACAAGTTATGCTAACAAGTTATGCTAATGAGTTATGCTAATGAGCTCCTGCACCTCTTTTTCTACGAAGTGACCCCTGGATAGCTCACCCTTTTTTAGTCTCCGGCTCACACATTTATGTCTTAGTGCGGGAAGGAGGGCTCCAGAGCAAACGGGTTTATGCAGTAGCCAAATGGCTCGCTCACAACTGTAAGGCCAGTAGTAGCTCACAAAGTAGAATTTTTGCTCACAGGACTCCACAGCTTAGAGGGAGCACTGCTCACCAGGCCCCCACCAGGCTTCCGCCCCCCCAAAGTCCCTTGCCAGCAGACCCAAAGAGAAGACGCAGGAGGCCTTGGGTGACTTCCAGATGTGGAAGCTCGGGAACAGGAGAGAATGCTCTCTGCCCATGCTCAGGAGTACTGACCCTCCTCTCCTGTAGCATTCCCCGTTGCACAGAACGTCTGCTCTGGCAGACCAGTTCCATTTGAACGAGAGAGGACGGGGGCCGGGGCTCAGTGGCAGAGCCTCCGCTCGGCAGGCAGAAGGTCCCTGGGAAAGGCCCCCACCTAAGACCCAGGTGGCTACCGGCCAATCCGAGGAGACAAGGCAGACTTTGCCGGAAGACGGGCCCGGCCGAGCGCCAGGCGGCCTCCGGTCCCCATGCGTATTCCTGCCCCCCCCCAGTGCTGCCCCATACCTGCACGCAAAGCAGTCCTTTCGCGGAGAAGGCGTCCTCCCCCGTGGCGTTGGGGTAGCAGTGGTACTGGACGGCCCGCACGGGGTAGCGGCTGGCCAGGAGGAGCCCGCTGTTCAGCAGCTTCAGGGCCGAGCAGCCCAGCAATCCGTAGGTGCCCACGTCATAGACAATGTGCTCGAAGCAGGGGCCAAGGAGGCGCAGGAGGCGCTTGGCTGCCTCCTGGTCAAACACTTCCTGCAGGCACAGGAAGTCCACGTCCGGGGGGAAGGAGGCCGTGATCTCCCAAGGCAAAGCGGCCTTTCCTTCCTGACGGGGGCCCTCGGCGGTGACCCCCTCGCCATCCGTTGCAGCAGGAAAGTTCTCACACGCCCGGGGCGGGCTGGATTCCGTTGCCCCGTACTTCCGCCCCCTGGAGACACGGCAGGCACCGCTTCTGGCCCCGTCCTCGTGGGTCGGGATGGCGCGCCTCGCGGCCTGCACGAGCGCCTGGGCGATCTGCATGGCGCGCCACTGGGTCCGTGCCAGGTTGCTGAACTTGGCCAGGCCGTCCGGCAGGAGGCAGATGTTGGCGGTGACGAAGCGGAAGGCCCTGCCCTGGCCGGGAAGCACCCACTCCTCCGGCGAGGCCCGGCTGGGCGTGTGCAGGTAGGCGAAAGGGCGGCGTGCCGCCTGGACGGGCAGCCACAGCAGGAGGGCCAGGAGGGACAAGGGGACGGAGAGGAGGAAGAGCAGCAGGAGGAGGGGCCCCTTGGCCAGGACCGCCAGGGCGTGGGGCGTCCGGCTCCGTGGCTCCTGCTTCTCCGCTGTGGTCCGCTGCAGGGCCAGGATCTGGCTCAGCAGCCAGTAGCTGGGGTACAGGAGTTCATTGGCCACGGCGTCCAAGCCCCTCAGGAAGCGGCTGGCGTAGGGGGAGCCCCGCAGACCCATGGCCGGGTTCACAAGTCTGGCCTCGCGGTCACCGCAGACCCTGCAAGAGAGAAAGAGCAGCTGTGAGGGGCGGGGCGGCGGCAGAAGAGGGCACTGGGAGCTCTGACCCTCCCACACACCACCGTAGCGCCGTGTGTGCTAGATTACTGCCGTGTACTGCGCATGGGGCTGCCCTGGAAGACTGTCCGGAAGGTCCAGCGGGCAGGGGATGCTGTAGCCAGAGTGCTGACTGGAGTGGGCCACAGGGATTGGACCACTCGGGACTTGTTCCATCGGCACTGGCTTCCAGTTTGCTTCCAGGATCAGTTCAAGGCGCTGCGGTTGACCTTTCAAGCCCTGCCACCGCCCCCCCCCCCCCCAGTGGCACAGCTTCCAGACCTGCCTGCCACCGCTGGAGGAGCAGAACGCAGCACAAGGCCGGTCAACGGCCAGAAGCAGCAGCCAGCGAGAGGAGGGGCTCTGCCTCCTTCCTCTCTGCCCCTGATGGGAGAGGAGGAGGAGGAGGAGATTGGATTTGTACCCCGCCTGGCCCTTCACTACCCAAAGGAGTCTCAGAGCGGCCCACAATCCCTTTCCCCTCCAAGCCTCCTTCTCTGGGGGTTGTGGGCGGAGTCGGCAGGAGCAGGAAAGGCGTGGAAGAAGGGGGGGAGGGGATGTGGCTCAGTGGCAGAGTCTCCACTTCGCATGCAGAAGGGTTCAAGATTCAATCCCGGGCAGCCTCTGCAGTCAAAGAAGGCCCAGGCAGGAGGTGACCCTGCCTGCGACCCTGGAGAGCGGCTGGGCTGCCGGTCTGAGTGGGCAAGACTGACCTTGGTGGAGCTTGGTGGGCCGAGGGGGGGGGGGGGTCTGATTCAGTACAATGCAGCTTCGTGTGTAACATCTGCAGCAGCAGAACATCTTTAAGATTATTTCTTTAACCTGTGGCTCGCCTTTTTTTTGGGCCAAAGACTCTGACAGCAAGCTACGAGCTAGGCACCGCACAGAGCACTGAGGCTCTTGGTCTATCCAGGGGTCATTTCATAGAAAAAGAGGTGCAGGAGCTCATTAGCATAACTCATTAGCATAACTTGTGCTCCTCGTGGCCCGGGGCTGCTGGGAGCAGGGGGCGGGGCTTGTTCCATGTGCCCGCCCCCTGGGCTCTTTACTGCCAGAGCTCCGCTCCTGTGCGCCCCTGCAGGAAATGACCCCTGGTCTATCAAAACCAACTTTGTCTTCTTTAACCAGGCAGACTGGAAGGTCAGTAGTTCAGCAGTTTGAGACCTGAGTGCCGCGTGATGGAGCGAGCTCCCATCTCTGGTCCCAGTTTCTGCCAACCTAGCAGTTCAAAAGCGAGACATTGCAAGTAGATAAACAGGTACCACTTCGGTGGGGAGGTGACAGCGTCCCGTGCGCCTCGACGTCTAGTCATGCCGGCCACATGACCACGGAAACGTCTCTGGACAGCGCTGGCTCTTCGGCTTGGAAACGGAGATGAGCACCGCATCCCTAGAGTCAGACTCGACTGGCTTTCGAGCAAGGGAAGCCTTAGCCATCAGCATGGAACCCGGGGCCTTCTGCGTCCAAAGCAGATGCTCTCCCACTGAGCCATGACCAATGTTTCCTCTATGCTGTGAAGTCTCGTGATCAAAAATTCTATTTTGTGAGTTACTGGCATTAAAGTTGTAAGCAAGCAATTTGGCTCCTGCATAAATTAGTTTGCTCTGGAGCCCCATCCTCCCTGAGCTATGACGAAAATGTGTGAGCTGGAGGCTAAAAAACTGTGAGCTGGCTCACGCTTAGTCGGCTTAGAGGGAACACTGGCCATGACCCCTTCGCAGGCCTTTCCTAGGGCGGGGAGAGAGAGGAGACAGGTGGCTGGGACAAAGCCGAGAAGAAAGAACCCAGCAGTGCGGAGGGAAGCCTTTGGGTCACGGCACACCCCCACCCCCGCTGCCCACGCTTGCTTTGCCCGGCATCCAGGGTGCTCCCGCTCGGGCCAGACGCCCTCCCTCCAGCCTGGCTTGGCACCCCACCCCCCCCGGCTGCATGCCACTTTATGGCTGTGTGCCACTTTCTACTTGCAGTTCTCACAATGGACCTACAAGGCGGGCCGTGGTAGGCAGAAACCCACCTCAGCAATCTTTTTTTTCCTTCTTTTAAAATTTTTATTTAAGATCGTATTATTTAAAAGGTTTTGTAAAATCCACTTATCATATTACAACAGAATATAGGGACTGTGACGAGAAGCGGTCAGGGCAAAAAAATATATATTTCCCCCCCCCTGGAGAGGTAGGCTTATAGAATCCTAGACTCATAGAGCTGGAAGGAACCTCCAGGGTCATCTAGTCCAACCCCCGGCACAAGGCAGGGAATTCACCCACCACATCAGCAATCGCCTCCTCAAACAAACAGGTTGGCGTTTGCTGTTACACTTGGGAGTCAAAAAGGTTGCCACAGACCAAATCTTACAAAATACGGGAGGATAACATGTAAAACAAGCCAACTAGATGAAAACTATTAGAATGTCTCAGCCCATGTAAAGAAAATCCCTGAGATGCGTTCAGATGCATTTCTGGAAAGTGTAAACATCGTTTTTCTGTTAAGAATTAGCACCTGCAATTGCTTTAAGGCCACTATAGAACACCAGTATCTCCAAAATACCGTGCGAACACATAGATAACACCAAGCCAGGGTAATGAAATACAAAGTCCCCCACCGTTCAAACGGAGGGTCAGAGCTCCCGGAATGGCTGCCTCAGCCATCTATAGAGGGGCCCGGAGCCAGTCCTGGGAACAGAAGACTTGGGGGGGGGGGGGCCTAAATTTGCCCTGCCTGCCTGGAGGAATGGCCTCATTAAGGAAAGCCCTCTTGTGCTGTGGGCGTGATTCCCCAGCTAAAGGGATGGGAAGAAGAAGAAAGAGGAGGAGGAGGAGGAGGAGACTGGATTTATCCCCCACCCTTCACTCGGAGTCTCAGAGCCCCTTCCCCTCCCCACAACAGACACCCTGTGAGGTAGGTGGGGCTGAGAGAGCTCTGACAGTAACTGCTCTTTTTTCAAGAACAGCTCTCGTCAGAACTACGGCTTGCCCAAGGTCACCCAGCAGCTGCGAGTGGAGGAGGAGTGGGGGAATCGAACCCGGTTCTCCCAGATAAGAGTCCGCACTCTTAACCACAACACCAAACTGTAGTGTAGTGGAAAGAGGAACTCCCACTGGCCGCCGCAACTCCTCACCCAGGAGGGTTCCCCCCCCCCACCCACCCCCGCCCCGTGGCCAAGAAGGCGGCTCCTTCTCTCGCTCTGCTCCATGCCCAGGCTGGCAGCCACGTCCACACAGTCCCTTGGATCGGAAGCCCTGCAGCACAGGTAGGCGGCGCAGCAGGCCAGCCCATGTCCCCTGCAGCCTCCTGGCCCCGGGGGTGGGCTGGCCCCCGTTCTCAGAGGCCCGCAGAGCTGGGGGAGGCGGCAGGGGTGCCCATAGCAAAGGTGGGACCCCCCCCCCACAAGGAAGCTCTGCAGGATTCGGGGAGAGAAACCTGTCCGGCTCTCCTTCCTGCTGGGCCGTGCACGAAGCCCTTCAAAACGGCCTGTCGCCTGTCTCATATGCCCAGAGGAAAGGGAAGCACCCAGCCCGTTGGGGCTCACTTCTTTGAGAGAGGTTAACAATCCCCAGACCGGATGAGCCAGCATCCTCTTGCCCCCGAAACCTACGGTTGCCAGCCAGCTCCAGGTTATTTTGGGGGGTGGAGCCTGAGGAGGGCGGGGTTTGTGGAGGGGTGGGGCTCCGGTGAGGTGTGACGCCATAGAGGCCATCTCTTCCAAAGCGGCCATTTTCTCCAGGGGGCCTGGCCTCTGTCGCCCAGAGAGCCGCTGTAATAGCGGAAGATCTCCGGTCGCCGCCGGCAGGCTGGCAAGCAACCCTACCTACATCGCAGCAGGCGCCAGAAGCCGTCGCTTTTAGGGGAGGGGGCCGAAGACCCCCCAGGCAGCGCCGGTTTGGAAAGCCGGGCATTCAGGAGGCGCAGCTGAGAAACCAGATCCAGATCAGCAAAGAGGGTGGACATGTGCAGGCCGAGGAGGGGAGCCGACAGTTACGGAAGGGGGGGCCGGCGAGGAGAGAGAGGTTGCCTGTCGCCCCCACGGCTGCATGCGTGCACGCCCACCTGCACACACATGCACACGCAGGCACAGACAAGAAAGGGAAGCCGCCCCGCCCCTG